CTGGCTGGCTAGCTATCCACCTAGCTATCCAGAAAGCTAGCTAGCTATCCAGCTAGCTATCCAGCTAGCTATCCAGCTAGCTATCTAGAAAGCTAGCTAGCTAGCTAGCTAGCTAGCTAGCCAGAAAGCTAGCTAGCTAGCTAGCTAGCAAATTCGCTTAATAGCTAATCCTCATCAGAGGACAGCTCCTGCAGCAATTTGCTGCGATTCTCTGCTGCTGCTGCTGCTGCTGCAGCAGAAACAAGAGCAGCAACTGCGGCGCGGTCTTGTGCCCCTTGAGCACTCTGGGGCCCTCTATTGTCTGCTGCCGCTGCTGCTGCTTTTGGTGGAGCAGCAGCAGCAGGAGCAGCAGCAGCAGCAGCAGGAGCAGCAGCAGGAGCAGCAGCAGCAGCAGGAGCAGGAGCAGCAGCAGCAGCAGATGAGGCTTCCTTTCTCCTGGGAGATGGCCGCGCGTCAACAGGGGCCAAAGCTTTTAGTGTTAGCAGGGGCCTTTTTGCTGCGGCATCTTGCTGCTGCTGTTGCTGCTGCTGCTGCTGCTGTTGCTGCTGCTGCTGCTGCTGCTGCTGTTGCTGCTGCTGCTGCTGTTGCTGTTGCTGCTGCTGTTGCTGCTGCTGCTGCTGAGGATGCTTCGCTACTGCGACTTCCTTAAGGTTAATGCCATCGTAGGGAGGCAGCAGCAGCTGCTGCAGCAGCTGCTCTCTTGTCATTCTGCTTCGGGGCGATGCAGCAGCAGATGCACCGCCACCTGCTGCTGCTGCTGCTGCTGCTGCTGCTGCTGCTGCTGCTTGAGGTGACAGCCGTGGCTTTGGCGGCGGAGCTACAGGCGTTATCTTTGAGGCTGCTTTCGCTGCTGCTGTTGCTGCTGCAGCTGCTGCTGCTGTTGCTGCTGCTGCTGGTGCTGGTGCTGCGGCGCCCGTCTCACGCTTTGCTGCTGCTGCTGTGGGTCCAGCAGCAGCTGTGCCGTTCGCCTGTTGCTGCTGCTGCAGCTGCTGCTGCTCATGCTGCTGCTGCTGCTGCTGCTGCTGCTGGTCTGCTGCTGTGCCATCAAGAGCCTCTTTGGATTCGCTCTTTTGGGGTTTAGGGTTTGCTGAGTGGGACTTTCGCGTGGATGACCGGCGTTTGGATTTGAGGGTTTGGGGTTTAGGGTTTAGGGTTTGGGGTTTAGGGTTTAGGCTGCTAGACCTTGTTGCACAAATGGAGTAGCAAAAGCAGCAGCGGGAGAGAGCAGCAGCAAAAGGGACAAAGCTGCTGCTCAAGCAGCTGCTGCACTGCACAGACAGGGCCTGTACAGACACCGCAGCACACGCTGCTGCTGCTGCTGCTGCTGCTGCTGCTGCCGCTGCTGCTGCTGCTGCTGCTGCTGCCGCTGCTGCTGTCAGGGACCCAGCAGCAATGAAACAGCAGCAGCAGCAGCAGACGCAGCCGAAGGAATACTACGGGCAAAAGCAGCAGCAGCAACAAGACAATCAGCAGCAGCAACACCGGCGAAAGTAGCAGCGGCAGCAGCAGCAGCAGCAGCAGCAGCAGCAGCAGACAAGCTTCTCACTTTTCCACCAAATCCTTTTTTGCCGCCCACGACGCAGTTCACTGTGGAGCAGCAAAAGCACTGCAGAAGCAGCAGCAGCAGCAGCAAACACAGCAGCAGCAGCAGCAGCACATAAAAGCTGGGAAAGAGAACACGACAGCAACAGCTGCAGCAGCAGCAGCAGCAACAAAGCAAGAGCTGCAGCAGCAGCAGAAAAACAGTACCAGCAACAAGATCGGTTGTAGCAACAGAAGCAGGAAGCAGCAACAGCAGTGAGAGCAGTTGCAGCAGCAGCAGCAGCAGCAGCAGCAGCAGCAGACCAGTAACGGCAGTCAGAGCATTTGTAGCAGCAGCAGCAGCAACAGCAGCAGAAACATAGTAGCAGCTGTAATAGCACTTGCAGCAGCAGCAACAACAACAGCAGGAGAAAAACAGCAACAGCAGTAGCAGCAGCAGCAGCAGGGAAAAAACAGCAGCAGCAACAGCAGCAACAGCAGCAGCAGCAGCAGCAGCAGCAGCAGCAAAAACGTACCACCACAAACAAAGAAGAGACATCATATTCCTGCAGCTCCTTGCAGTTGTAGCATCTGAGGCTGGCAGCATTAATGGCAGCAGCATCTGCTGCTGCTGCTGCTGCAGCAGCAGCAACAGTAGCTGCTGCAGCAGCATCTTCTACTGCTGAGGCTGCCATTGCTGCAGCAGCAGTGCTTGGTGCTGCAGCAAATACAGCAGCAGCAGCAGGGACTGCTGCTGCTACTGCTGCTGCTGCTGAGGCCTATCAGCAGCAACAGGTGCTGCTGCTCCTGCTGCTGCATGTGCTGCAGCAGCAGATGCTGCTGCTGCTTCTGCTCCACCCGCTGCAGCAGTAGCTGCTGCTGTTTCTGCTGCACCCGCTGCGGCAGTAGCTGCTGCTGCTGCTTCCGCCGAACACTGCAGCAGCAGCTGCTGCTGCTCTTGCTGCGCAGTGCAGCAGCAGCTGCTGCTACACAGAGAACTTGGTCCCGGAGTGTCTGTACAGTCCTTTTGACTTCATCCCATCAGCCTTCACCTCAAACCCTAAACCCTAAACCCTAAACCCTAAACCCCAAACCCTAAACCCTAAACCCTAAACCCGAAGTCTCCATGGCTTGGAGCAAAGATCGAGTCTAAGGCCAAGGCGAGGGTTTAGCGTTTGACGCCTAGGGTTTAGTGTTTAGGGCGTAGGACCTAGGGTTTAGGGTTTAGGGTTTAGGGTTTAGGGTTTAAGGTTTAGGGTTTGAGGCCTAGGGTTTAGGGTTTGGCCGCTGTAAAGAAGCGATGAGTGCAGCAGTTAGCTTGGCTGCAGGCCCCGAGAAAGTTGAGAAATATATTACAAACCCCAAACCCTAAACCCTAAACCCTAAACCCTAAACCCTAAACCCTTAGTCCTAAACCCTAAACCCTGAACCCTTAACCCTAGGGTTACGCTGTGGCTCGCTTCCTCGTAGTCGACGACGGCTGACGCTGGCAAACCCTAAACCCTAAACCCTAAACCCTAAACCCTAAACCCTAAACCCTAAATCCCGTTTCCGTTGACAAATGAGTTTTTCAGTTTTAAACTTTCCCTTGAATACAACAATTGAAACTCTAAACCCTAAACCCTAAACCCTAAACCCTCGCGCCTGCTGCTGGCAGCCTCTGGGGCGGGGCCCCTTATGGCCACACCGCAAACCCTAGACACTAAACCCTAAACCCTAAACCCTAAACCCTAAACCCTAAACCCTAAACCCTAAACTGTAGGCGTTCAACCCTAAGTAGTCGAAACTAAATGCTATTTGCCTAACGGCGGACTTTAAGTGGCCTGAAACCCTTGGCCCTAAACCCTAAACGCTAAACCCTAAACCCTAAACCCTAAACCCTAGGCGGGTGTTTAAAACCAGCAGAGCGGAATACACAGCCTAAACCCTAAGCCCTAAAGCCTAAACCCCAAACCCTAAACCCTAAACCCTAAATACAAGTCCCTAGGCACTGCAAATTTGGCCACGAAAGAGCAGCAGCTGCTGCTGAAAGTGTCTTCCTTCTTCTCGAGGGTTTAGGGTTTAAAACCCAAGGTTCAGGGTTTAGGGTTTAGGGTTTAGGGTTTAGGGTTTAGGGTTTAGGGTTTAGAATGGAGAGCGAAGAGGAAAGAGTTGTGATTGGCGGGGTGTCAGTCATATCGAAGGCGCAGCGCAGCAGACAAAAGCGAAAGCCCACAGCCGAAGCAGCAGCAGCAGCAGCAGCAGCAGCGCCAGCAGCAGCAGCAGCAGCAGCAGCAGCAGCAGCAGCAGCGCCAGCAGCAGCAGCAGCAGCAGCAGCAGCAGCAGCAGCAGCAAAGGACTGCGACGACGCTGCGGGCGAGGAGTTCGCCTTCAGCCCTGCGCTGCTGCTCGCCCCGCCCCCGCCCTCCCCCCACAGCAGCAGCAACAACAACAACAACAGCAGCAGCAGCAGCAGCAGCAGCAGCAGCAGCAGCAGCAGCAGCAGCAGCAGCAGCAGCAGGGGGGGGTTTGAGTACTTGGACCACACTGCGGATGTGATAGTGCATGCGTTTGGGACTTCTTTGGAAAGTTTATTTTCTTTTTTGGTTTTTGGATTATTTCACTACATGGTGGACCTGGTGTACGTACACCCCAGCTGCTGCTGCAGTGTACGCGCAGCAGCAGCAAACCTCTCTTCACTTTTGTTTTCTTTTCTCGACGAAGTGCATGCGCTGTATGGCGAGCAGTACTTCATTGTTTGCTGCATCAAAAGCCTGCGACTTCGCGCAGAAGCAGCAGCAAACTGCGACCCCCAGCAGCAGCAGCAGCAGCAGCAGCAGCAGCAGCAGCAGCAGCAGCAGCAGCAGCAGCTGGTGGTGGAGTGCGAAGTCTGCGGGGAGGTCTTCGACCCCAAAAGACACCCCCAGGGCACGGAGGTCAAGGCAGTCACTATGCACCAGCTGCGCGTGCTGCTGCTGCAGCAGCAGCAGCAGCAGCAGCAGCAGCAGCAGCAGCAGCAGCAGCAGCAGCAGCAGCAGTGGACTGTGGTAGAGGACTTGAGCGACTGCACAGACCTTGCTGCTGTTGCAGAGGCCCTTAAAGACGGCAGCAAAAGATTAGAGGCTTTTGTTGTTCTAGATATTTGAACCCCAAACCCTAAACCCTAAACCCTAAACCCTAAACCCTAGACTTCCACACGACGACGCTGCGAGCTGCAGCAGTTTTTTTTCGTTGTGAACTCTTGAGCTTTTTTATTAGCTGCTACTAGGCGTCCTTTTGCTGCTGCTGCTGCTGCTCTCGCTGCTGCTGCTGCTGCTGCTGCTGTTTTTGTTGCTATTCTCTGCTTCTCTCTCATTTGCTGCTGCTGCTCCTGCTGCTTTCTGTCTGCTGCACCGGCTTTTGCTGCTGCTGCTGTTGCTGGCGTTGCCTTTGTCCGCTGCTTCTGCTTTTGCTGCTCCTTTTGCTGCTGCTGCTGCTGCTGCTGCCTTTGCAGCCCAGCCACGCAGCTGTTTGTTCTTTTTGCTGCTGAGCTCTGCTGCTGCTGCTGCTGCTGCTGCTGCTGCCTTTGCAGCCCAGCCACGCAGCTGTTTGTTCTAATTTAGTAAATTAAATTTTTTAATTTGAAATTCAAAAAAGAAAATTAAAAAGTGCAACTAGGAATTAAATGCAAAAAGACGAAATAAGAAATCAATTAATTACTTTTAAATCAAAATTAGAAATTAATTAACTTCGAAAAATCCAAAAATAGAAAATTAATTATTTTGCAAAAAGCCAAAAATGCCAATCAAGAAAACAAGAAGACATTTCAACAAGTGGAAAGCAGCAAAGAAAAGCAAACAGCAGCAGCAAATTCTCGATCTTTAGCATTTTATTATTGAAGAAAGCATTTATATCTTTTAAATACCTTTTAATTATCTTTTAAATACCTTTTTAATGCATTAAATATATCAGAAAACATTTAATTCAAACTTTCCGCTTTTTCGGACACCATTTGCATGTCTGTGCATGCACGGGGTGTACGTACACCCCAAAGGACGCAGGCGCCAAAAGAAGTTTTTGAGATTTTGCATCGAAAGTTGTTTTTAATTTTATTTGTTTGATTTAAATTAAATAAATAAAATAAAAACAATTTCGATGGTAGAAGTTGCTTCTTATTTCGTTTATTTCGTTCAAATTAAATTTAAATTAAAATTTTGGATTCGTTTTCCACTTTGATCGCTTCTCGCGAGGTGTACAGACACCTGACTGCTTCCCGCAACAAACTCTCCTGCAATTGAATTCACTTTTGAATTATTTGAATTTAATTTACTTTTATTTTGCATTTTAATTCAATTTGAACTCCAAAAGTATTTACAATTTCAATTTTTTGCAGTTTTCCACTTTCCTGCTTTTGTGCGCATCTCTGCCAGCTGTACATACACCGCAGAGTGTTCTGTCCTCGCCTTTTTCAAATTACGAAAAGTAAAATAAATAAAAATAAAATAAATAAATAATAATTAAATAAACAATAAGAGGCAGGATCAAAATAAACAAATTGGTTTCTTATTTTCTGCAGCGGAGGAAAAAAGAAACAAATTCAAAAACTCGGTTTGCTGCTGAGGTGTACGTACACCCCAGCAGCCCTGCCGCTCTAAGTGCAACAAAAGCTATTGTGGGGTTTATAAAAAAGACAAAGGGACACAAAACTAGGAGCTAGCTAGCAGCAGCAGCAGCAGCTGCTGCTGCTGCTGCTGCAGCTGAAGCAGCAGCAGCGGGCGCCTCTGAAGCAGCAGCAGCAGCTGTGTCTGCGGCAGCAAAAGCAGCAGATGCATTTACTTCGGCAGCCGCAGCAAGTGGTTCCTGTACACCTGCAGCAGCAGCAGCAGCAGGTCCCGCTGCTGCTGCTGCTGCTGCTGCTGCTGCTGCTGCTGCTGGGCTGCGCCCGAGAGGGCGGCACTTGCTGCAGCCCGCATCTCGAAGAGCGCGCACCATTTGGTGCTGCTGCGGCAGCAGCAGCAGCAGCCCGTGCTGCTGCTGCTGCTGCTGCTGCTGCTGCTGCTGGTAGCTGTCGAGCAGCTGCTGCCTGAGGCCCTCGAGCTGCTGCTGCTTCTGCTGCGACCAGCCGCAGCAAGCAGCAGCAGCACCTACCTGGAAGCAACCCCACAAGCAGCGGCCGCAGCGGGAGTGGAAGCTGAAGTCTTTGCTGCAGTTTGCTGCTGCTCTTTTGAGGAGACACTTGGGGCCCCCCGGGTGTCTCTGCAGCAAACTGTTCACTTTGTAAGTGCTGCTGTTCGCCTGCAGCAGCAGCGAGCCCAGCAGCAGGTGCCGGTACATCTGGCACGGCGTGAAACTCGGCCCCCTGCTGCTGCTGCTGCTGCTGCTGCTGCTGCTGCTGCTGCTGCTGCTGCTGGGCGTGCAGGGGATCGGGAACTCCGCTCTGCTGCTGCTGCTGCTGCTGCGCCGCAGCAGCCAACGCACTACGACGTCGTACGCGTACCGGAACCCGACGCCGCTCATGAGGCTGCTGCTGCTGCTGCTGCTGCTGCTGCTGCTGCTGTGCTGCTGCTGCTGCTGCTGCTGCTGCTGTACACTACGGCCGTAGCAGTTCGCGCTGCACTGGTAAAGGCAGCAGCCAGAGGGGGCGCGCGCGCAGCCGCCCCGTGGCTGCTGCTGCTGCGCCTCCTGCTGCTGCTGCTGCTGCGCCTCCTGCTGCTGCTGCTGCTGCGCCTCCTGCTGCTGCTGCTGCTGCTGCGGCGGCGGCGGCTCCTGTTGCCGCTGCTGCTGCAGAAACTCCTCATCCTCTCGACGGTCGCCCGGCTGTACCTGACGCTTGCTGCTGCTGCTGCTGCTGCTGCTGCTGCTGCTACGTGAAGTGGCGGCGCCGCTGCAGTAGTGCTGCTGCTGCCTCTGCTGCTGTCGCTGCTGCAGCTGCTGCCTCCTCCGCTGCAGCAAAGAAGGCTGCTGCAGCTTCAGCAAGTCTTCAACAGAAGGGCGCGACAAGTCTTTGAGGCCAGCAGCTTGCTGCTGCTGCTGCTGCTGCTGCTGCTGCAGCGCCCCCTGTAGGCAGCAGCGGCCCTCCTGCATAGCAGCAGCAGCTGCTGCTGCTGCTCGCGCGACTGGCAGTGCAGCAGCTGCTGCTGCTTCAGCAGTGGGAGCAGCAGCAGCAGCAGCAGCAACAGCAGCAGCAACGACACAAGCAGAAGGCCGCCGCGAAGCCGACTCTATAAGGATGTCCTCGGCTGGGGTGTACGTACACCTCGCCGCCTGCATGCACCGCCGTGTTGCTGCTGCTGCTGCTGCTGCTCCTGCTGCTCCTCCTGCTGCTGCTGCTGCTGTAGTTGCTGCATCACGTCGGCGGTCAGCAGCAAGAGCAGCAGCAGCAGCCACTGCAGCATTGTAGCTGTCAATGGACGAGGAGTTTGGCTCCGCAGCAAAGCCCGCCTCTGCTGCTGCTGCTGCTTCTGCTGCTGCTGCTGTGTTGCAGAAGCAGCAGCTGCAGCAGCTGCAGCAGCAAGGGCCCCACAGCCGCTCTCGAGTTTGCTGCCGCAGGGGGAGGCAGCGTTGGCAGCAGCTGTTGCTGCAGAAGTCTGCACAAAAGTTGCATGCATCGCATGCTGCTTCTGCTGCTGCTGCTGCTGCTGCTTCTGCTGCTGCTGCTGCTGCTGCTGCGTCTGCTGCTGCGTCTGCTGGGTCGCCTGCTGCTTCCGCTAATTTGGCTGTTGCCACTTCCGCTGCTGCTGCTGCTGCATCGGCTGCTGCTGCTCCCAGGGAAGACGTGTCTGTTGCTGCTGCTGAAGTCTCTGTTGAGGCGTCTGCTGCTGCTGCTGCATCTGCTGCTGCATCTGCTGCTGCATCTGCTGCTGCATCTGCTGCTGCTGCTGCCGCATCTGCTGCTCCGGCCGCCGCATCTGCTGCTCCTGCTGCCGCCTCTGCTGCTCTACCTGCTGTTGCTGCATCTGCTGCTGCTGCTGCTGCTGCGAATAACTCCTTCATAATTGGCTTTTGCGCGTCTGCTGCTGCTGCTGCTGCTGCATCAGCTGCTCTGACAAAATCTATTCTATTTGCTGCTGCTTCATCTGCTGCTGCTGCTGAAGCTGCTGCTTCGCTAACTGCAAATGTGGCCTGTGCTGCCTGTACTGCAGCACAGCTCGCTTCTGCTGCTGGTTCTGCTGCTGCTTCAGCAGCAGTGGCAGCAGCAACTTCCGTTGCTGCTGCTGCTGCAGCAGTATCAGTGGCTGCAGCAGCTTCCATCCCGCTGATACTTCAGTGTTAAAAAATCTGACTGCTGCTGCTGCTGTGCTTGTTGCTGCTGCTGCTGCCGCTGCTGCTGCTGCTACTGCTGCTGCTGCTGCTGCTGCGAAGCAGTGTCTTCGCTGCAGCCGAGGTTTTGCTGCTGCTGCTGCAGTTGCTGCAGCAGCAGCAGCAGCGTGGATCCTCTGTGTTGGTCCACTTTAGCTGCACCATGGCATCATTGTGACGCTGCTGCTGCTGCGAGTTCTGTTGCTGCTGCTGCTGCTGCCGCTGCTGCCGCTGCTGCTGCTGCTATTGCCGCTGCTGCTGCTTGCGCTGCTGCGGCTGCTTCCTTCTTCCTTCTACATGCAGGCCTTTGGCCCACAAAAAGACCCTGAGTGCCTTTTCGTGCTGCTGCTGCTGCTGCTCCTGCTGCTGCTGCTGCTGCCCTGCCACTTGCAGTTGCTGCTGCGCTGCAACAGCTGCTGCAGCAGCTGTGGGGCCGCCGTTTCAGGCAATTAGAAGCAAAAAATCAATTTCACTATGGAGAATACTGGATGAATCTGCTGCGATTGCTGCTGCTGCTGCTGCTGCTGCTGCTGTGCTGCTGCTGCCGCTGCTGCTGGCGTTGCTGCTGCGCTGCTGCTGCTGCTGTTAAAGCAGGCTAAATAACTGGTGCTGCAGCTTGTCTTCTAATCGACTCTGAAATGGCCGAGGAAGACTAATCTGCTGCCGCTGCTTTTGCTGCTGCTGCTGCTGTTCAGCAGTAGCCGCTGCCGCCTCTGCTGCAGCAGCGGCTGCTGCTGCAGCAGCAGCAGCTACAGGGCTTGGTTGCCTGCAGCTAGTTGCTGCAGCAATTCTGAGTTTTGTGTCTTCCTTTTTTTTCTTTTCTATGATTTGTTGTGCCCTTGCATTATTACTGCTGCTTCCTGCCGCTCAGGTGTACAGACACCTGAAGCAGCAGCAGCAGCAGCCTCAGCAGCAGCAGCAGCAGCAGCAGCAGCAGACTCCTCCCGCCACTCCAGCTGCTGCGTCTCGCAGCAAAACTGCAAAAGTAATGACTCAGCTTTGAGTGGAGGTCAAAGGACTCATTGGCGCTGCAGTTGGGGTGTACATACACCCCAAGCCGCCAGCTGTACGCGCACGACAGCCTAGAGCAGCAGCAGCAGCAGCAGCAGCAGCAGCGGGAGCAGCAGGAGCAGCAGCAGCAGCAGCAGCGCGGGAGCAGCTGGCTCCGGAGAGGCCTGTGCTGCAGCTTGTCTCGTCCGGCTGCAGCTGCGTCGAGCCAAGCCCCAGCAGCAGCAGCAGCAGCGGCGTTTGCTGCTGCTGCTGCTGCTGCTGCTGCTGCGGGCGGAGAATGCGGGTGGCAGCTTCAGCTTCGGAGGTCTTTGCTCCGCAGACAGCAGCAGCAGGAGCAGCATCGGGAGCAGCAGCAGCAGCAGCAGAAACCACAGGGGAGATGGGAGAAGGCGCCTCTGCTGCTGCTGCAGCAGCAGCAGCAGCAGCAGCAAAAGAAGCAGCAGAAGTGGGGGGCGACGCTGCTGCGATTGACGGGAGGCTGCAGGAAGTGTCTTTAGAAATAAAGACAGTGGAGAGTCAGATTCTTGCTGCAGTGCGGCAGCTGGCGAGCCTGCAGCAGCAGCAGCAGCAGCAGCAGCAGCAGCAGCAGCAGCGGCCGGCGACGGCGCAGGTGGAGGAGCTGCTGCAGCTGTCGCGCGCAGCGCAGCAAGCAGCAGCAGCAAGTGCGGAGGAAGCAGCAGCACTCTGCAGCGGGATAAAGATGCTGGATGCAGCAAAGCGGAACTTGAGCTGCTGCATTGCTGCGCTGCGGCTGCTGCTGACTGCTGCTGCTGCAGTGGAGCAGCTGCGGGAAGCAGCACTTTACAGAGACTATGCTGCAGCAGCAAAGTTGCTGCTGGCCTTGGCTCCGCTGTGTCGCTCCTTTGAGGTGTACAGACACCTGCCGCGCGTTGCTGCGCTGCTGCAGCAGCAGCAGCAGCTGCGCGAGGGGCTGCAGCAGCAGCTGCTGGAGGACTACGAGAGCGCCGTCGACGCGGACAGCAGCAGCAGCAGCAGCAGCAGCAGCAGCAGCAGCAGCAGCAGCTACTGGAGGGAGAAGCTGAAGCACGCAGGGGCTTGCGTGGATGCTCTCGGCAGCAAGGGTTTTCGGCAGCAGCTAATTGCTGCTGTTTCTGGCTGCCTCCTTGCGCCTTACATGATTACTTTTGCTTCCGCCCCAGCAGCAGCAGCAGCAGCAGCAGCAGCGCCAGCAGCAGCAGCAGCAGCAGCAGCAGCAGCAGCGGCCGCCGCTGCTGCTGCTCCCGCGGCGGCCGCGACGGCCGACGCCGCGGCCGCCGCCGCAGCAGCAGCAGCCCCGCCGGCCTCCCCAGCAGCAGCAGCAGCAGCAGCAGCAGCAGCAGCAGCAGCAGCAGCAGGAAGCAGCTTTTTCGAACGCCGCTTCGGCTGGTTTCGAAGAACTCTCAGAGAACAAGACTTTCGTTTTAAAGATCTTTTTCCTCCCCATTGGAGATTCAGCGAAGCTTTTGCTGCGCACTTCTGCAAAGTCACCAAGCAGCAACTCACCGTCAGCTGCTGCTGCTGCTGCTGCTGCTGCTGCTGCTGCTGCTGCTGCTGCTGCTGTGGGGTGCTGCTGCGTGGTTGGCGGCTGCTGCTGCTGCTGCTGCTGCCTGGCGGACTAGCTGCTGCTGCTGCTGCTGCTGCTGCCTGGCTGGGTGCTGCTTTGTGGCTGGGTGGTGGGGGCGGTGCTGCTGCTGCTGCTGCTGCTGCTGCGTATTTCAGAGGTTGCTGCTGCGGGCTGTGAACTGCTGCTGCTGCTGCTGCTGCTGCTTTTGCTCGAGATTCTGTGGGGCATTTGCTACCAAATTGCCTGAAAATAATGGACCTGAAGTTCTTCTCTTGGTTCCTCTGTTGCTGCTGCTTCTGCTGCTGCTGCTGTTGCTGCTGCTGCTGCTGCTGCTGCGTCGCTGCCGCATAATACCTTGTGGGGCGAATCGCCGCAAAGCTGCTTCTTCCCATTTAAAGCCCCAACTAAATAATTAATTAAATTAAATAAATAAATAATTAAATAAATAAATAAATTAAATTAATTAAATTATTTATTTATTTGTTTCTGCTGCAGGACTACTTGGAGCGGCACCAGGCGACGCTGCGGCCGCAGCAGCTGCTGCTGCTGGTGAGAGAAGCGAAGCAATTTGAAGAGCGGCTGGCGCTGCGGTTTGCTGCTGAAAGGAGAGAGTTGCTGCTGCTGCTGCCTCCAGAGCAGCAGCAGCAGCAGCAGCAGCAGCAGCAGGAGCCGACGCCGGAGCAGAAGAAGCTGCTGAGAGCTGCTGCCGTGCAGGCGGCCGCAGCAATCGACGAACACCAGCAGCAGCAGCAGCAGCAGCAGCAGCAGCAGCAGCAGCAGCAGCAGCAGCAGGGGAGCCCAAGCCTTGCTGCTCGTGTGGAAGCGGCGCTGCAGGAGGGCGAGGGGGGCTCTGAGGGGGAGTGCGGCGACGCAGTGGCCGCAGCAGCAGCAGCAGCAGCAGCAGCAGCAGCAGACGAGAGCCTGCAGCTGCCGCCGCCTGTCTCCTTTTCCGGGGCCATTTCTGCTGCCTTCGAGGGCTACATGGGCAGCTGGTTAGCAGCAGAAGGAGACAAATTAAATTCCAAGTTGTGTCTCGCGCTGCAGCAGGACAAGTTGCTGTTCAACTTCGCCGGCTCCGCCCTGGCCTGCAGCAGCAGCAGCAGCAGCAGCAGCAGCAGCGGCGGGCACAGCAGCAGCAGCAGCAGCA